ATTTGTCGACGGGATGAGGTACCTCGGGCATTAATGGTATTTACCCGATGGACGGTGATTTGCATCGGGCTGGGAGATCGGCTTCGCTTAAGTTCTCGGGAGTTTCTGGTTGGCTCAACATTGAGTGTTTCTGAGGTTAACATGAACACTTTTTTTTCTCCTTGCCGAATTTGTTTTGGTGTAACACCTCGGTCCTCATCCTCATCTTCATCATAGGGTTCAATTTGACGTCCTGGCCCCCGTTTCTGGGTATCAGAGTTGCGATAGAACTTCCTGAGTTGCGGATGACCGATTAAACGTAATAGGGCAGCCAACAGGCTAAAACACTCATCGGTGTTGTGCCCCGGCGATTTATGATAGTCACAATATCGAGATTTGTCTAGTTTTTATTCGGGCATCCGAAGTGGTTTAGGATCGGGCAGGATACCTTTTCCTTTGATCTCTTCATAGATGGTGGCGGCCCCAGCTGAATAAACGGTTTGGTAACCGGATTTCACGTCGGTGGCGTACTGTTTCCGAGCTGCCCTGATTTCGGGGTCGTTGGCGTCTCCCCGAGTGTAACCTCAAAATTGAGCCTTGTTTTTCTTATCAAAGGATTTATTTTTCTTCCTGCCATCGGTTCCCGACTTGGATGACTTCGGAATGAAATTAAAATCAGGGACCGACATCGCTTCCTTGGCAATAATATGTTGTTGAGCTCGGGCAAAGAATTCCTGGAAGGTATTTGGCTTATTCTGACATAACGTCCAGCGAAAAATGGAGTTCGGTTTCAACCCGGCGATTGCCATAACAAGCAGAGTTTCGGGATGACATGGCTCCATATTTTGAACTCGATCATTAAATCGGGAAATATAATCCTTGACACTTTCATCATCTTTTTGAGTTACATTCGCAAGAGACTCTTTCGGAACCAAACAAACTTGGGCCCCAATGAAATAGGATCGGAAAGCCGACCTCAACTGTTGCCACTTCCAAATTGAACGAGGGGGTAAAGAATGGTACCATTTTTGAGCTCGAGGCCCCAGCGTAAGGGAAAACATGCGACACCGAAGTGCGTCCGAGGCCCCGTGGAGGTCCATCCATGACGTATAGTGACCGAGATGGGAGTCGGGATCTGAGGTCCCATCGTACAATCCGATTTTAGGGACTTTGACTTTTCCAGGTACAGGTTCCGAGGTGAGCTCGGGTTTCAGAGGAGAGTCAGCTTCTAAATATACTTGTGCCGAGGTAGAGGCTCGTCGTGGAGGATCTTCCTGTGTCCTCTGCCGACTTTCCAACTCGGCGACTCTTCGTCGTAACACTTCTAATTCCATGGATTCTTGCCGAGCTGACCGATTTCTTTCAATTTTCTGTCGGAGATCTGTTCGAACCGGATGGGAATGAGTCTGAGGCCACACGGGTGGTGGAGAACGCCGTGGTTGTCCCGATTGACTTTCAGCGGTTTCTTCATGAGGGATCACCGGGGGGGTTTGTGCTGTCTCAGTGCGTCGCGTTACGCGTTCTTGAGGTGGTTGTGATGTTCTATCACGAGGCTGAGAAGTGGCGTGAGAAGTAGCTCCGTCATCATCTCGTCAAATAGACGGATTTCTCGGGTTTGTAGGAGTAGTAGGGATGATAGATTGTCCCGGCGCCGTCGTCGACATCCCAGGGACAGTCTGAGCCATCAAGGCAGCAAACCCACGTGCGAACTCTGGATTTTGAAATAGAGCGGTATAATCAGGCAGGTTGGGTATTGTCGCAGGACGTCTGGCAGATGGATTGCTACGACTGTGTCCTTCGCGCGACGTATGGCCGCGATGATATGAATGGGACATGTTTACAGTTATGGATGTGGCTAAGAAGCCAAGGATTGAAGATTAACCTCAAAAAAATGATGATGCCCCTTCCTCTAGCGCCAAACTGTTGTTATGTGATTATTAACAACGATTGTAGATATGATGAGTTATATAATTTGAGTAATTTGGACGTTAAACATGCAATCAGAACTCAACAGTGGCCCCGGTCCGAGGTGAACCGAGGTGAAAAGCTACAGTGAGCTGTTACGTGTTTCATGTTAAGATATTCGGTTCGGGATCCCCGTACAAGTATCAGATGCTTGCTATTTATAGTAACTTTTTTGTGATACATATCGGGATTTGTGCAATGCCTTTTTCATAAAGCTACTTTTTGGTGGGCGGCATTGTCAGCGGGTCCCACTTGAATGATGAAATATCTCGTGGTTCGTGGAAATGGCGTGTAGGCGCCTTGTCACCAATTTAGGAGGTGGTGACCTCGGTTCATGTTGACTTCGGTTTGCAGAGACTTTGGTTTGGGATGACCTCGGCGTGAGGATCACCTCGGTTTTCTATGGTTTGGTCGGTTCGGTATGCGAACCAGAATAATTGTTGATCGCGTCGGTGTTGGTAATAATCCGTATAAAACATGGTTTGAGGCTAATAACTTCGAATTACCGAATCGGATGATAACAAGACTCGAATATAATTTGGGAATTAAATTTGGAGATTATTCAATAATACTACTTTAGTGGAGTGTACATATTATTCCTATTTGGATTTGGTAGGCTTGGCCTATAGTCTAATCCAAATAGGAGAAGCTCTATTTAATGCCTCATCAGTATCCCTATTGTAACCTATAAATACATCACATCTGTTGGGATTAGGCATTGGAAGCCATTCACGCGTGACACACATAGAAACTGTCGTCCCCTCTCTGTTCTCTCTCTTGTGTTCTTTTCTTCTTCTCCAAGAAATCTCAGTAGAGATAGATCCGATTTCATCGCCCACCAAGATGATCGGATTAGATGTCGGGTCATACAATAGAAGATCTAAGGTGAACGAGCGATTTTTATATATTTATCCAACCCCGTAATATATATATTCAACCTCGT